CCATGTAGAGTTGTTCTTCATTATCTATAGCTTCATAGGTACTGAACATCCTCTTTTCAGAGCAAACATGACGAGTAGCTCTTGTGTCCACCCACCATTTTCTATTGTTGCTCACCAAGTTGATTTCAGAAACTACAGCTGAAAGATTTAGCTCTGACACATTTTTTATTAACTTATCTTCCTCAGCAATATGCACCTCAGTGGTCTTTTTCTTGGGGTTGTGTTGTACTTTGCGACTATGACAGTTTTTAGCTCGGTGTCCTAGCTTGCCACATATAAAGCACTTTCCAGTGAACCTCTTGTAGTTTCCTTGGCTGGGACCTTCGCCAGAGTACTTCCTCTTCTTATTCTTCTGTCCAGCTTCTACTACATTTGCCTTTGACACCATTGAAGAATTCCTGGCTTTTTTTTCAGATGTGCGGTTATCTTCTTCAATTCTTAGCCTGACAATCAGGTCTTCGAGCCCCATTTCCTAGCGCTTATGCTTCAAGTAATTTTTGAAATCTTTCCAAGTATGTGGCAACTTTTCAATGATTGAAGCTACTTGAAAGGATTCACTCAATGTCATCTTCTCAACATGTATCTCATGTAGGATCAGCTGGAGCTCCTGCACTTGGCTCATGGCTGTCTTGGAGTCTATCATTTTCAAGTCCAGAAATCGTCCGACCACGAACTTCTTCAATCCATCATCCTCTGTTTTATACTTTTTGTCTAGTGACTCTAAAAGCTCTTTAGTAGTATTCGTTAGACTGTACACATTATATATAGTGTTGTCCAATCTATTGAGGATGTAGTTTTTGCATAGGAAGTCTCCATGCTTCCATACTTCAACAGCTCCTAACTTTGTAATGTCAATCTTCTCCTCTTCTAGTATTGGGGTAGTCTTAGTTAGGTACTTGCTTAGATTCAAAGTTGTAAGGTAGAACATCATTTTCTGTTGCCACTTTTTAAACTCCGCCCCATTGAATTTTTTAGGCTTCTCCCCATGACTGACGGGAACATTAGGCATAGTAGTACTCGTACTTGCTATTCGTCTGATATATATTAAATATACAGACCACAGTCAAAATTAAAGAAATAAAATAATAACAATATTTAAATAATTAAACTATAGTATAAACGGAATCTGTCTTAAGATTGTTGTCCAAAAATACAGTTTGACTATACAATATACTATAGTACAATTTATTTAAATATTATCTGAAAATATAATGTGTATATATATATATATATATATATATATATATATATATATATATACATAGAGAGAGATTATTATAATAATTATATATATATATATATATAATTTGTTATAATATATAGTTTAATATAATAAAATAAAACCTATAAAATAAAAGAATCTGATTAAAAGTCAAGGCTAGAATTTGATTCTATATCCTTAAGACAGATTCGCCCCGTTATGGTACTAACGGACTCAGTGGCGTCTATCTCCCAAGATACAACAATTTGTCTTCCTTCGGTAGTAGCACTGCAAACCAAAGGAATAGGTGAACCGGCTCGATGTAGTACTTTCTGACTCGAACTCGGACTCGGAGTGACTGACTAAGGGTCAAACCCAAATACTAAGGCTCGAACCCATAGAGTAAAGAGAGGAGGAGGAAGAAGAAAATTCAGAAGAAGAGAAGAATTCTCTGAATTTGTTGTGTTTTGCAAATGATCCAAAGAGGGGTATTTATAGGTAGCAAGGTGCTTTTTCAGGTGGGTGCAGCCATGTGTTATGATGGTTCGGAAAAAGGTGTAACCCTTTGGAAAAACTAAAAAGTGGTTTTTTTAATTTAAAAGGTGTAACCTTTTGGAAAAACTAAAAAATGGTTTTTTTTTTTTTTTTTTTTTTTTTTTTTTAATTCAAAAAACCAACTATCCAATAAAACCCACCCATTTGTGAAACCCATTTAAATAAGCCCAACCCAAAATTAGGCCCAATCCAAAATTCCAAAAAAGAATAATCTGGACTTTACAATTAGGCCCAAGCCCAAGCCCAAATCCTAAACTTAGCTTATTTAAATTTCAATTGGTTTCAACAATTTTTTCCATGTGGAACAAGCACTTCCCACATTTTGCATACCCATTTAGGCTTATCAAAACACCACATTTTGGAGCTAATTTCTCATTCACCCGGAAACGGATTTAAGAAAATAATTATACAGAACGCTTCTGTCTATAGATTCGAATAAAATTCTTAGCGAACTCTATTCCAAATTTCATCAAAAGTTTCTGTTTGTATACCCAGTTTCCAACACTTTCTTCTCTCAAAAACTCAACTTACTTTCTCTCTAAAATTATATCTCTAATCGACCTCACCTCTATTTATAGAGTCTTAAACCTATTCACTGTTAGATAAAAATTCTCAACTTGCCTACAAGGAGTTACCAATTGAACAAAACTTGGCCCACAATTCTAGCCTCTTTGGAGAGTAAAAAATTTAGCTTGGAAACTAATTTCCGCAAATTCTGAGCGAAGTTGAACATGTCCAAAGAAAATTTGAACATGTTTAATTGAGGTTACAATCACGTCGAATAAATTTAAGGAGAATTTGAACAAGTCCAACTTCACCGGAACACTACATACAAACCTAATTATTCAAGCCAAAAAACACACCAAAATCGTATTTACCTTATTATATATGCATATATATATATATAAAAACCTTCAAAAACCTTTTTTTTTTTTTTTTTTCTTATTATTTATATCAAAACTCGATTATTTATGGTGTATATGCATGTATCTAAGAACAAAACCGACCGACTATAAAATCAACTAAAATACAATCACATACTCGACAAAATGTTGTGTGCTTGTTACTCTATAATTACAAGGTTTTTTTTTTTTTTTTTTTTTTTTTTTTTTTTTTTTTTAATTAGGACAATGCTTAAGTCCTCCCCTAGAAGGATGAAGTTCATCCTTCCAGCCTTATTCAACTTCTTACAGGTTAAATGGATACCCATATTTTTTTCTTTCCATATTTATAATTTTTACAATCCATCTTTTAGCTAGACTCTCTTCTCTCCCTTCCCCCTCTCTCTCTCTCTCCCCACAAATCTCCATATGAAACCCTAGTCTATCTACATAAATCAAATACTAAACTTTTATTCAACATATAAAATAATATACAAAACAACAGAAGCTCATAAGTGACACAAAACTGCACCAATCAGAATTTATAGTATTCACAAACTTTCAATCTTTCCTTTTCAAATTTTCCACCAATGAGAGAAAGGGGGAAAAAAAAAAAAAAAAAAACCAACTATTAGCCCCATCAATTGAAGGTGTTGGGAATTTGGGAGGGATGTAAAATATAGATCTAACTCTAATAAAAAAAAAAAAAAAAAAGATTTACTACAAACACTAACTCACCAATTAACGAGAAATGGTCTATTAAAATATAGGTTAACATCAAATTTTCATATAATATTTTAACCTCCTATTAAGTCATTTCCTAATCAACACTTGATATAGTACATTTTAAAAATAAATTTAGTAATTTTTTAATTTCAAATGGAAGTTAGGTATAAAAACAATTTTGATTCTTTTGGAAAGGACAAAAAAATAAATAAAAACTCTAGAATTCGGTTTAACCCCTTCCTATTCAACACTTGATATAATATATTTTAAAAATAAATTTAGTATTTTTTTAATTTCAAATGGAAGTTAGGTATAAAAACAATTTTGATTCTTTTGGAAAAGACAAAAACAATAATAATAATAATAATAATAATAATAATTCTAGAATTCAATAGAACCCCTAAAAAAAATTTAAAATTTAAATATGTGTCTAAATTGTGTTGAACAATATCATCTTATCCTCGAAAAAAATGACCCAAGTATTATCCTTATAATAATTGAGTTTTCTGTGTTGAAGAAGGAAGTTGTTGACTTTGCTTGACAGATAAGGAAATGGGGTGATTGGACGTAGTCAGGTAAGAAGACTTAGGTGACAAGGGAATGGTGATGTTGGAATATTCCATAAGCATCTGCACGAGCTTTTTTAAGTCCAGAAGATCGGATTAAGGAACCTCTCCTATGCAAAAATGTAAAAGAACAAGGGAAAGAGATTGGAAAGCAAACTATTATCTTTGTAATCCTACTTTCCTTAACCACCATATAACTCAAATATCTTTCATATCCAGCTCCACCGTCATCTTATCTTTTCTCTCTCCTCTCTTATTCTATGTTTGTATTTATATTTGTATATATGTATGGTATATAATTATAGCAGATTTGTAAAGAAAGCATTCCAAGAAACAATGTACCTTCGATGGCTAAATACTTGACATGTATATAATAATAATAATTTAAAATTCACACAAATCTCTCAGCTCGAAGAAGATTATCAGTATCAAATATTAGAGGTAAAGTCAAATGTGATCATTTTCATTTCCTTTGTTTTTTTTAATTCTCATTTAGATAGAAAGAGAATCTCCTCAAAACACAAAAATATTACAAACACTTATGTAGCACGACTACAAACAAGAAATACGGACACGACACGACACGGAATGAATACGTCAACACGTCAAATTTTAAAAAAAAATTTATTTATATACATCTATTAAGTAATAATATTATAAAATTTTAATTAATTTATAATTTTAAAACTGAGAGTTGTAATGACTTTTAAACTGAGAGTCATACCCGACATGTACACGACACGGGTACGGCTCTTTCGTAGAAATGTCCGTGCTTTATAGACAAACACTATAAGTGTGTTTGGCTGCATGGAATTGGAGCTTTAAAATTGGAATTTGTAAAATTTGAGAAAATTTTGATTCAATTTTCTTAGTTATTTTTCTCAAATTCCAATAATTCCAAAGTTTCAATTCCATACAATGGAACATATCTAAACATATTTGGTTTCGCCAAAAAGGTCAATTTTTATGATTTCCACACTAAAAATCCTAGGAACACATCCTAAACATATTTGGTTTCCCCAAAAAGGTCAATTTTTGTGATTTCCACACTAAAAATTCTGGAGTCATCCCTTAAATTCTACCTTACTTAACATTATTATTCATATTTTGTAATTCTGAATGATTAATTGTTAATAGACTAATAGTTATACATTCAATCAATCCCAAAATCAATCAAGTTACCGTTGTCACTCTTCTAGTTCATTAAAACAGTGTTTTGAACTTAATTAATTAAACTGGAATGTCAAAATTATTGAAAAAAAAAAAAGGAAAAAAGAAAAGCAAGCTTTTGAAAAGACAAGGACCTCTTTAAAGAATCTTTTATCAATCATAATTCTAAGGTGCAGCAATGGGAGTCTTCTACCTAGTACTTTAAAAAAAAAAAAAAAATGTTGAAAGAAAGAGAGAGAGATTGGAGAGCAAGCTGAACGTCGGATCAATATCAAAATTATATTGAAGAAAAGGACAAAGAAAAGCATGCTTTGAAAAGAAATTAGCGGCTTTTAAAAAACCTTTTATCAATCACAATTCTAATGTGCAGTAATGGGAGTCTTCCTTGTAAAAGAAATATATAACCTTAGAATTTGGAATTTGGAATTTGGATCGATACATATAACCTTTCTGGTACCCTAAATGGAGAGTAAGGGTCCAAAGAGAGAACTTGGAGGACATCACGAAGACTCAGTAATATTACCAGGTAAGTAGTATTCTATGTTCTAGTCATTGAATAAATTTAATTAATTAATGACGTTTGATTGCATTAATTCTTGATATTGAGTAACTTTATCATGTTTGATTGTTTTAATTCTTGATATTGAGTTGCGGATTTGAGAAACCCTAGTAACTTTTCAGTTTTCACAATTTAGGATGATCAATTTTGGGCACTAAGTAGTAAGATTTTTAACTCTATAATTTTGTGCACATGAGGTGTGATTTTCATTGTAAGGATATTAGTATAGAGGGGTGTTTTCTGCACTTAAACCTCATTTATCTATATATAGTCAAAACACATCCACTTCTCTTCAATGCCAAATTTGCAAAATAGTGGGGTTTTATTAATAATCTCAGTGGGGGCAATTTCAAAATTTTATGAGTATAAATGCAAAAAATTACAAATTTAGGGTATAAATGAAATAACAAAAAATTCAGTGTGGAGCGGATGCCCCCACTGAACTCACGGTAGATCCATGCCTGGTCACAATGCTTTTAAATGTTGGCATCACTTCGATAACAGCTATCAATTAAGATGACCAAGTTCCTCAAGCCATGGCCGCAGGCATTTCTTCAATTTTGTCATGATGGGTAATGGTGAAAAATTATTGTTGGGTCTTGATGGGTAATGCGGAGCTTAATAGATACTATATATCAAGGCCCAACTCTGCGGATTACAAATTTTTTTGAAGGATATTTTGGTAATTTTGTGCTTTTGGTATGCTGTCCTAGTGCAAGGGTATATATTCATTCCGAACTCGATCTTTGTATCTGTTGCTGTTTTTTATTATCATAGTGAGATACCTGCAACTCCTTAAACGTAACCCTGAATTTTGAGTAAATTAAGTAAAATTTGTGTGTTGTGTTTTCTATTTAATTTCGCAACATGTCTTTCCTAAGGACTCACAGTTATCGTGTAACATGGGGTAAAGATATCATTGGTTAGTATAACAAATGGGGGTATATGGAGTTCTAAGGAATCGAAAGTTGGAAAATGAAGGGAGAGAGTGAGAATTATTGCCAAAAAAAAAAAAAAAGAAAAAAAAAAAAAGAAGGAAAGTTATTTCATATTTTCAACGTGGTAGTTAGTATTCCAAAGAAATTGTATAGTATTCTAAAGTGACGTAATTAGTGCTGGGGCGGTTACAGGCCTTGGGCAAAAATTAATAAGTGGCCTTTTTATATCATAATATGCAATATATTAATTATTAAATAATAATTAATTAAAAATCATTCTTTTTGAGATCAAACTTACTAATTAAATTCTTATATTCAATTGTAGTTAAAATATCTTTTTCAATAGATAATATAGTCAATTTATTTAATTTTTCTTGCAACATAGTTGATCGTAGATATGATTTTATTGTGAATCAAGTCACTGTTATTTTTTTCTTTAATATTGTATAATCTTCTAATTCTTTTAGATGATTCGATTGTTCATTTGCTAAACTTTCATCTAATTTTTTTTTAGATTTTGATTATTAATTGTAACAAATTTATCAATAGCTCCCCTTAGAGATTGAATTAGTTTATCTATTCTTCTCTTCTTCTTCTTTTTTAAGTTTTTAAAATCCCGATTCATGCTTTCTAACATACATATTAAAAAATATGAGAAAAAATAGTCACAAACTCACAACTCACAAACAAATATACAAATATATGAAAAATATAGATATATACAAATTTATAATAACAAAAGTTAGTAAAACTAAAAAATAATTAAGGAAGAAAGAACAAACCTGATTTAGGAAACGCCAATTTAATGCTACTTCAAATTCTTCAATAAAAGAAAAGTGCGTTCAAATTGAGATTTGAGACTAATGAATATTTAGTCGAGAAGAAAGAAAATTGTAAAGTTGTAATGAGAGAGGATTGAAAATGACTTGTTGAGATTGATGAGAGAGGAAAGAAATCAGAATGAACGAGGATTAGGAATAAGAAAAATAAATAAATGAATAAATAAAATAAAAATCTAGAAAAGAGAATATGGAAAGTTTCTTTGCTTTCCCCCTAAATATTTATTGTGGTACAACTTATCGAAAAATTATTAAATATATATAGTGCTGGTGTGAAAAAAACCTGTATAAGATAAACAAAGAAAAAAAAATATTAATGAGATATTTTAGGAGATAAATAAAAAAAAAAATAAGATATTTTAGGAGAAAAATAATTTCTCTCATCGTTAAAGTTTAATGAAAATGCCTCTGAATATAAGGAGAGAGAAAACAAAAAAATAAGATTTTTTTAGGAGATAAATTTTTTAGAATTAGTGTTCAATAAAGAAACAATTACAATATATCATACATAAGGCAATTATAATATTTTAGGGCTTTTTTTATTGGCTGGGCCTTAGGCAGCCGCCTAACTCATCTAAGGTCGCCCTGGATTAGTGAAGTCTTCAAATTGATATACATTCATGTACCGACAGTGTCTTTTATATTTGGCTATCTAAGCGTAGCAGAAGTCATAACCAACAAAGCAGAAAAGGGCAATTGTGTTCTCCTACTATGATTGTTCCTGCACTTGGTATGCTTTTTTCTTTTCTTTAATATCGCATGATTTTTTATCATTGTATATTGCATGTATCATTGATTTTTGATGGTAGATTTTAGGGTCCTTTAAGGCACCTGACACCATCATTAACGAAAAAAATAAAACATAAATAAATAGTAGTGCTGATCATGGTCATATTGTTTTGCTTTTTTTCAATTTGTAGCTGAAGTTACAAGATCACTAAGAGATGTCCAACCAGGGGACTATCTATTCAAAATAGAGTCTTTCTCAATACTTTTGGAATCAGATGTTGAAAAGTATGAATCAAATGATTTTGAAGCTGGTGGTTATAAATGGTGTGCCTGAATCGCTCAACTAGATATCTTCAATTTTGTCATTCGCATCCTCTAGCTTTAATGTATGTTAGTAATAGAAATATATTAAATTTTCTTTTTGGATTTTCAGGAGATTGTCTTTGTATCCGAATGGTAACAAGAAAAAAAATGTGAAGGATCACATCTCATTGTACTTGGTAATAGCTGATACAGCTAAACTTCCTCGTGGTTGGGAAGTTAATGTGAACTTCAAATTATTTGTTTTTGATCATTTGCATGACAAGTACTTAACCATCCAAGGTAGTTAATTTTTTCAAATCACAATTACTTAATTATTTGTTTATCATCTACAATCTCTTTTTACAGTATGCAATAATTGTGTGTGTATATATATATATATATATATATATATATATAAACACATCTGTATATATATATGTAGATGCTGGACAAGTAAGGCGCTTTCATGCTATGAACACTGATTGGGGTTTTGACCAATTTCTTTCACTGGATATATTCAAAAATCCCTCAAATGGGTACCTTGTAGATGATTGCTGTGTATTTGGCGCAGAAGTTTTTGTGATTAATTATGCAGGCAAAGGGGAGTGTTTATCAATGAAAAAAGAACTATATAACAACATCTACACCTGGAGGGTTGTTAAGTTTTCATCATTAAGTAAAGAATGTCTTTACTCTGATGAGTTCAAACTTAACGAATGGACGTGGTAAGATCTCTTCTATATTTTTCTAGTGGAAAAATGTTTCTTACGTAAATAACCACACACTAGTACAAAATGCACGCTATGGGGCTTGAACTCCTCTTCTCTCGGAGATGTTATATCAACTGATCGAGCTAATGACCACTGATAAATTGATACTTTAATTTGGCACATGAACATGTATTAGTCGTTTTAAATATATATATGGTTTTAAAAAAATAATAATAAAAATTTGAGTTCAGGTATCTAGAGCTCTTTGCCAAAGGAGATGAACAATCAGATGGCCAAAGTCTCTCCCTCTATCTTGCAGTGGCTGAATGTGAAAAACTTCCTCCGAATTGGAAATTATATATCAAATACAAGCTGAGGGTTAAGGACCAAGTCAATAGCAGACACTATGAACGTGAAGGTGAAATCATATATCTTTTTTAATCTACACTTGATAAATTCTCATGCATAACTTTATATTTTGAATACACAAACATGAAAGCTGAATTTTTGTTTTTCATTATTTGTAATGGAAATAGAATGGATACTCTCCACTAGTTTTTTTTCTTTCTACAAGACATCATCCAACAATTATGATCACAACACAACTAAATCTTAACAGAACTGATTACGCCCGATGTTCACTGCCCTTAGAAATGCTTGGAGAGGATCCAAATCTATTTGTAATTTTTGTTTTGCTGACAGAAACCTTTGGTTTGAAATTCTCTTTGCAGCTCATTGCTGCTTTCATGCCTCCGATTATAGTTGGGGTTTCAAGAACTTCATGTTTCTTAGCAATCTCAATGACTTATCAAAGGGCTTTTTATTGAATGATTCCATAATGGTTGAAGCTGAAATTTTGGCCTTGTCTGTTATTAAGAATTTCACATAAAAAGTTGTTATTCTAGGCACCTTGTGTATGTGTAGGGATTCTTCATCTCTCTTTAATTACCTTTTGGTACTCAATTTCAATAGTAAGCTTCCCTATTTTTTCTCTTTGCTATTCATATTCCTTTTGTCATTTGTAATTGCTTCATGAGGCACTGATATAGTTATATCTCAAAATTTAAGAACAATTTAATGTTACAAATTAAAAATGTTTTTTTTTTTGGGAGCATAGAATGGACCCTTCGGAATTGGACCAAACATAAAGGAAAATGGTCAAAAGACTTGGCACCTTGCAAAAAACAGTATCATTGCATCCTCAGCATTGTCCTACATTGGTTTTGGATGAGAAAGGTCCCACATCAGTTTTGGATGAAAAAGGGCTTGGGCATATATCAAAAGGTATATAACACCATCGGATATCTTAAATAAGACCACATTTATGACTCCGGTGAAAACAAAACTTATTTAATATATAGGTTGTTGTATTAGGTATTTTTTAAAAAAAAAATTATAAAATACATATAAGAAGATAAAATATTTGAGTTAAAAATTATTGAATGAATACATTCTTCATTTTATCATTTGTCAAAAAAATGAAATAAGGATTAATATATTCATTTTTAATTATTAGAGCTGCAAACTATTTTAAAGGCTTGTGATTTGGGCTTGGCGTTTGTTTATGCTAATGTTTGATAATTCAATCTGGCACTTAATTTTCAATGAATTAAATGTTTATATATACATATTTTTTATTGATAAAAAACACACTCACACACTTGTTATCAACAAAACTCAAACTCTTCCATTCCTCTTTGAAAATAGAGAGGTTATACCATTGGGCATTTGGGCTCGAACTTTTCCCCTTCTCTTTAAGAAGGACAAAACTTGTCAACACACTGATGAGTAGAAAATTTGTACTTACCCTGATGTGGCACAAAATTAGTGGGATACGTCCTTACAATATAAAATAATAAAAATTAAATGATTTAAGAGGTTAGTCGGATTAAACCCAATTTAATCCAAATCTAACTCTCTCCCCCTTTCTCCCATGCTACTCTTTTTGTCTAGGGAGTGAATGAGAAGGGGATCTTGTTAACTAAAATATATATTTTAAGCTAAATTTTTTAAATAAAATAATATTACAAAATACAAACAGAGCTCTAGATGATGAATAGAAAGCATAACTAATAAATGTAATGATACATAGATATTTACTTTCCGCCAAAAGAAAAAGAATATAAGAAATAAGTAATAACAATCTATTATGCAATCAACAAATCATCTATCAAATCATTTGAACCCGCGATTTAAAGTAACTGGAATGTACTTTAGATAAAAATAATTGATAAGTATATATATGGATTACACATTAAACCATGAAAGATAAAAGTCAAAACTTTCGGTATTAGCAGATTAGGGTTTCAGCGGAATAAGAAAGGGAAAGAGTAGGAGGGTGTTAAATTAAGATTTGATTTGCATCATTTTGGGTTGACCCAATAAGCATTCCATTTTTTTAATTTTTTTTTATTATTTTCTATTTTAGGGATATTTGTCACATTACTTTTGGGCCACATCAGGGGTAAGAATGAATTTCCTACTCACCAGTGAGTAAGCAAGTATTGTTCCTTTAAGAATGGAGTGGTAAACGAAATTATGAAGGAATCGGCGGAGAAATTTTGTGTTCTATATGGTAATCCTTCTTATATCCGAATTGGAGCGTAGTGATAGAGTAAATGAAGGTTTCTACCGAAAAGAATATCGAACTTGACATGGCCATAGCCACATCAGACAATTTCATTACGAGTAAGAAGCTAACTCATTTTTCTCTCTTTTCCTCTTCGTTTCTCTCTCCTGTTCTTCATCAGTTCTTCTTATCTATCCTCTCTTTCAAAATCTAGTGGTCAAATTTCTCCTTTATAATGAACTCCAAGAGATTAAGTCTAGTCTGAGACTGGTCCAAACATTTGAATGGAATGTATACACATGTCCAAAGTATTCTAGAAAGAAAATCCAAAATTCATGTAAGATTATACCTCCATACGAGGGAACGAATATAAATATCTTCTTATCCTTACTCTTTTAAAGATCACTTACTCTTCCCTTCTCTTATTGGCATCTAGAATTCTGATTCATAAATCTTTCAAGAAGAAATTTTTTCAGTCCCAGATGAAAAATATGCAAAAGAGTTTTTTTTACAGTAAGTAAATGTGCACAAGAGTTGTCATTACAAGACACATTAATCTCTTACTGAATGAAAATATATTTAGAAAAAAAAAACATTTTTTAATTGGTAAAACATTTTTTAATTAATTAAATTTTTTTTTTTTTGGTTTTGTGCTTTTTGTATTGGTAAAACATGAAGAAATTTTTTTTATCTTCAATTTTGTAAAATGAAAAGGAGAGAGACAAAACCAGAATCGATTGAGATAAGATTGAATAGAGAAGAAAAACAGAGAATTAGAAAAAGCGAAAAGAGAGAAACGAAGAGGTAGGAGCATCTCACACGCTTATGCTTCAAATCATTCGCAACAACGACACTGCCACAACAGATCCAACCCAGTGACCTCCTTTGCCTTTGCATCGACATCCCGGGCTAAGCCGCTTCAAACCCCAAGACCACAATGTCGGTCCCAAATGACCTCATTTGCCTTTGCCGTCGACATCACGGGCCAAGCCATTGCCTGATCGGAGCTCTATCAAGAAGGAGTCGATGGAGAAGCAAGTCCAATTTCCTCCTTTATTGAAGTCAGTCCGGAGCTTTAGTCATTACAGGAACAGAATGGACCCTCAGATGGAAGGCATTAAGTGGAGAAATAAAGAACAATGGAAGAAACAGAGGGAGAAAAAAAGGGGAATCGTGGAGAGCGAATGAGAGAGAGAAATAGCTCTATGTTTTTGGGGTCTAACGTGGCCTATCCACGTTGGATTCGGAGGATATGTCAGTAGATTGAGTCGAACGTTGTATCATTTTTCAATTATGAAATGTAAATGGAGTTCATATGAAATATTGACAAACCTAATGAAAGGTGAATATAATTTATCCTAAAATTTTAATACTTAATTTTCAGTTTTATCAAATAGTACCAATTCCTCCCTACCCCCAATTTCTCCCAATTAGTCTTGTTTTATTGCTACGCTCTCCCTACAATCCTACCCATAAAATTCATCTGTACCTAAAAATTCTCCAAAAGAATATATTATGAATTATTATTATTATTATTATTATTATTATTATTATTATTATTCTGGAAAGTATTAGTAAATGCAGAGTACAAACACGCAACCTCTCTTTTGGGGAGGAAAGGTCATATCATGTGGACTAGGGTCCATTGATATATTATAACTTATTTTACTATATCACATTTGGTAGGAAGGAATAAATAGGGAGATAGGAGTAGGGGATAGATCAATTTTTTGTTGTTTTGTAGAAGAGGGGTGGAGAAAATGGTCCATGGATTAAATTCTCATTTCTTGTACCCTCTAAAGCTCAACACCGAAGAGAATGATACAAATTATATAAATTTAAGTGCAGAAAATACTCATGTATTATGCTTATAGTGCATATCACATCCTCGCGTATGAAAGGCACCCCTAATGTATTAAATTTGTTCAAATAGGTCCCATAGATATTTTTAAACTAGAGTTGGACTAAAATGCCCTTACTTTGACATTTTATAAAAAAGAATATAAATATATATAATTTTGTAAAATGACTGAAAATGACTTTGTGCAACCAACCCCCCAATGGGGTAATATGCTACTAATCTCATAGCAGAGGGGTATTATGTGCACATGAAATGCAATATATATATTGCATTTCATGTGCACATAATACATATATATATATATATATATATTTGAATATAAGAGAGAAACAGAGAAAGATAGACAGAGAGAACATATATATATATATGTTCTGTATATTAAAATATGTATGAAACATGTACAAGGAGATATATAAATAGGCGAGAGATCACAAATGGCTATACAATGATTAAGGTAACAATCTAGACTATGGCTATAGTATAATGTGTGATACCCCCGGATTTCCAGATGCAGGTTGGCCAAGCCCACGCTCGAATACCCAAGGATATCAAAACAAATGGGCAATATTCGAACATAGAATACAAATATGATAACTAAGAATAGATAATTTGCTAAAAGAAACTAAAATAATAATCCATTAATAAAATCCTCAGAATAAATTTTCATAAATAATAAAATATTCAAATATATCCAATCCTCCAATAATAATACAACTCGGGAATCATACTATGTGGACCCCTAGAAAATCACAACTGAACAAGTCACAGCAATAACTGTCTACATCAGAATACTGAAACATAAAGGGAACTCCTATGTAGACAATCCGGAAGAGTGAAGTAGACTGATCCCTGCTTAGCACGAATAACCTCTACTCCAGACAAATACCTGAAAATAATGGTGGGTCAGGCCCACAAACAAGTTCTACTCTACTACAGTCCAAGCAAAGATCTGATACACGTATATATCCTAGTCAATCCAATAATAATTATATAATCCATACAAATATATATCCATACTAAGGGACTCTCACTAGATTATAGGCCGATCTCAACCTGACTAGTAAACAACATGCAAAATGCACCTGAAGTGGGCATGAGTACCTAGACCTAACAGGGTACACCTCCAACCATCATAACCAGCTATACATCCCAATGCATATACGCTCCCTAACCGTCGATCTTGAGACTCAAGCTCATATCGAGGTACCATAATCATATATATATATATATATATATATATATATATATATAATCCATCATATCCATCTGTAAGTAATTCAGGTAGTCATTCAACTTGTTTAGTTGACCTAACACGAATATAAGTAGGACTTCACTTTTTTAGTTAATCCATTCCCTTATACAAAATAGGTAGGACTTAATTTCTTTGGTTAATTCGTCCCTAAAATACCACCGTCCCATACCGGTGCATTAAACCACACAATCCAATACATGATGCAACAGATAAAGCAGTACATCAAATAATCCAAGATAACATGATAAAAATCACATATATAATCCTTGCATATACTTAAACAAAATAACAACTCTAAGTAGCATGCATTTAATTT